AATTACAATAGGGTTTCAGCACTGCGTGCTTGAACCCCTAATTACTTTGTAGATTCTATCCTGTTACATATTTTAAGTAAATAATGTTGGTTCAACTCAATGATATATTTAATATAAATGAGCTTAAATGTTGTTAACACAACTTGAAATTACTTTTGTAGATTATATCATGTTGCATGTTTTAAGTAAATAATGTTGAGTGAACTCAAATATTTGTTCATATAACAAAGATTATCTTGTTTATTTTAAGTAAAATTGTTCCAAGTTGTGCTTACTTAAAAAGTGTGATGCAAAAATGGTGCATATATATATATATTTATTTATTTATTATTAGGGAAAGAAGGGAGGAGTGAATGTAAATTTAAAGGAGCACTGGTAAAAATGCATTAGATTTACTTAAAATTATATATATATATATATATATTTCACTCCTCCCTCCTTTCCCATTTACATTCACTCCTCCTTCTTTCCCTTTACATTTACTCCTCCCTTCCTTGATCTTGATTCATCCTGTTATTAAACAAATTATTTCTCTTCATACTCCTTCATTCCCACATTTTCCCCTATGCATTTCTTCTGCACACCCCTACAAACCACACTCTTTTTTTCCAGAGTAGTGATCCTGTTCTGGACATAATTTTTAACACCTGTCAATTTCGCTCCTTCAATGCTGGTTCTGCTTGTATGCATCGCTCACAGTCTTTCCCTTTACATTTACTCCTCCCTTCCTTGATCTTGATTCATCCTGTTATTAAACAAATTATTTCTCTTCATACTACTTTATTCCCACATTTTCCCCTATGCATTTCTTCTGCACACCCCTACAAACCACACTCTTTTTTTTTTTTTCCAGAGTAGTGATCCTGTTCTGGACATAATTTTTAACACCTGTCCATGTTCGCTCCTTCAATGCTGGTTCTGCTTGTATGCATCGCTCACAGTCTTTCTTACCAGGCACTCGGCATGTTGATGAAGTTTGTCATGTGTCGCTCTACTGCTTTTACCTCTGCACTTTCTCATTTCCGCATTGAAGGATTTGAAGAACCTACAAAATAAATAATAAATTAATGAATTAATTCCAATTACAACTGAAGTCAGTTCAAAACAAAATCGACTGAGTGTTGCCTAATGTGTAGATATTTAGAATTCTGCAGACCGGTTTAGGAGAGTTATATTTAAGAAATTAAGGCATTTTAATGCAACTCCAAGTGAAATTTAAGGCCACTTTCACAGTAACACAATAGCTAAATTCTAAGTGTTTGTAAGGTTTAAAAACTAGTTCCTTAATATTACATGAGGCATCTAAGATAATCTACCAGCCATCAAGAAATCTTACCAGACAATTTAATAAAGCAAGCATATCAAATATTTTGTATGCTTGTCAAATAGTTTCAAATATAATAGTTCCAATATATTCTCCACAAGACAAAATAATAACTGAATTTATAAAAATGACCCCATTCAAGTTTACATACCCTTGAGTCATTCCCTGCATGATCCACAACTATTTTCCTGTTTTGTGATAGTTGTTCGTGAGTCCTTTGTTGGTCCAGAGCAGACTGCTGTTCATTCTTTGGTTTTCCAGCATCTTCTGCATATTTGACCCCTTTCCAACAGTGACTGTATGATTTTGAGATCTATCTTTCACAACGAGGACAACTGCAACTATTACAAAAGGTGAAAAAGTTTACCGACACTCAAGAAGGCAACATTGTCACACTACGAGCCAGAGACGCAAGGTAAGGATGCAAACAGTGAATATGAGAAGATAGACTTCTTGGGTTCTTAGCTCTGGGTAATATTTGGGATCCTTTGCAGGTATCCAGGGAGGATAAGAATGGGATCGTTGGAGAACAGGATCGATGGAGCTTCTAGGGGTAAGTAGACAACAGGTCAGAAATAGGTAGGAGTCAGGCTTGGTTCAAGCAAGTGAATGGTAGACCGGACAGTGAGGCAGTGAAGAGTGCAGGGATATAGCGCACTTAATTCTCTCTTAATTCAGTCTCTGCATGTGAGGGTGATCAGTACTCTGGTGATTGCAATCTGGTGTGTGTCGGGGCTGGTGACTGAGGTGACGTAGGTGACTGTGAAGGCAGAGACTCCCTGACAATAATGCATTAAATTTACAAAAAAGGGTAAACTTTCTAAATTGGATAATCAGGGTAAATTGTACGTCCTTTGGCTTCTGGGAAACATGTAAGTAATTATGTAGCTTTTGTACTACTAAATGAAAAAAAAAAAAGATTACAAAAAAATTACACATCATCCTATTCAAAGTTTACACCCTGCTGCTCATCCCAATAATTCAGCAAATTATTTTTAGATTTTACATGGATGAGGATGAAGTTAGCGCAGGAGGTGAGGGCGATGAAGGCTGTGCAGGAGAGGATGAGGATGATGAGGACACAGCACAGGGTGCAGATGAAGAGGGTGTGTCGGATATGGATGCTCTGAGAGCTTGAAAATATAATTTGAATATAAAGATGTAAAAAAAATCTGAACATAATTTGAATTAATAATACAATAATCAACTGTTAATAGACTTGGGTATAAATCATACAGTAGTGTGATGACCATTTCAAATATTATTCACCAAGCAATCTTTCTGTGATTGCTGTTTGGCTCATTCTGCTCGTTTACAGCAATCTTCATGACGTTGTCGTAATTTTGACAATCTTGATTGAAACAGTTTCTGCAGATATATAAAGAGGTATTTAGCTTATATAAACAAGAAGTTAATATTAAGTGACTTGCATTGTCTGACTATAACACTATTGTCTGATTTTGCTCTATTTCGTCATCGAAAATAGTTTAAAACAAAGACACAGCGGAGCTGCTGCGCATCTCCATTCAAACACAGCGGTGTTTCGTTTTACGAATGAACTGTGTTTTTAAACGAATCTAGTGAGTCAATGATTCATGATTACCCATTCATAAAGACAGTCACTTGATTCATTCCTGAATGAATCAGCCGTTCGAATGAATCAATTGAATGAATGATTCCGTGATAAAAATCAGTGACTTACCGCCACCTGGTGGCAGTTTGTTTCATTTTAAAGTATCTTTTCAGTTATTTAAAGGGGTCATATGATGCGATTTCAAGTTTTCCTTTCTCTTTGGAGTGTTACAAGCTGATTGTGCATAGATAAGATCCCTGAAGTTGCAAAGACTAAAGTCTCAAAACCAAAGAGATAT